ATGCTTTGCCTGATGCCCCCCAGGACACGGTTGGCCCTCCTGGCTGCCAGGGCACTGCTGACTCATATTCGACTTGCCATTGACCAGGACCCCCAGGTCCCTTTCCACAATGCTCTCCGGCCTCTCATTCCCTAGTCTATACACACAGCCAGGGCTGTCCCATCCCAGGTGCAGAATCTGACACTTGACTCCAGAGACTCCAGAGAGCAATGTAGATAAATTTGTAACTGCCCTCTTACTGTCCTAAATAATGGGGTGGAGGACACAGAGATATTTGCATCTGTTTTCCTTTAAGTGATCACCCATTAGAATGCATAATTTAATCACAGCATCCGGAATTACCAAAGTGTGAATATTTGCAAGGAGGAAAGGTCTGAGAATAAGATTACCTTTTCAGAAAAATAAACAAAATAAAATAAGGCAAAACCACTTTCATTTTTTTACTTTGTGACCAAACAGTCACAAAGTAAAAAATGAAACTCAAAAGCAATAGTGCCATGGTTGTTTATAAAACTATGATATCAAATTAAAATAATTCAAATTTTTTACATGTTAGACTTCAGAAATAGTTGCTATCACTGTTCAATATATGCCCAAAATTCCTGTTGAGTGGAACAGTATTATTATTCAAAATCAGTTGCCTACAAAATTTTATTAGTAGCCTAAAAAGAACATCATATTTTATTCATGAATATTAGACTAAAGTTGTTTTTTGCCCTAACATTTCCATAATGAATAGCAAAACTACTGCTGAAATACGCTGCCATTATGAGATACAATCCTAAGAACAATGTTAGGAAAAGGCATTAGCACACTTCTTTCCCCTGCCCTCGTTCATTCCACTTTTTTGAAATTTCTATTTATAGCAAGAATCTTAATAGACATCCTTCAAATGTAAATGCTTCTGTAACTGCAGTTTCAGAAAACCATACTGCAAGCGTCTATCCAGCAATATAAATTACCTCTTAACTCTGTATCCAGGAAAGAATAATTACCCAGACAAATTAAGACAACGAATACCCCAGCCACTCTTCTATCCTCCCCAAAACCTTTTATTAACTGCCCCTGCTCATGTATACTAACAATTACACTCCATTTTAAGTGAAGGAAAGAAAACAGCAAATATTAAGAACTCACAAAAAGGCTATTTTTACAATACCACCACTTACATTGTGTAAGTATGTCCTGGTTTTGTCTATGGTAATGTTAACTTTCCTCCCAGTGGGTGGTATGGGGCTGTATGCTGGATTTGTGCTGAACATAGGGTTGATAACATAGAGATGTTTTTGCTATTGCTGAGCAGAGCTTACATTTATATAAGCATATAAGCAGAGCTTATATGATTTTCATACTGTCGCGCTGGCAAGGAAGGTGGGAGGTTGGAAGGAGACACAGCTGGGACAGGTGATCCAAAATGATCCAATGGATATTCCAGACCATATGACATCATGCTCAGTCTATAGAGCTGGAGGGAAGAAGGAGGAAGGAGAGATCTGGAGTGATGGTGTTTGTCTTCCCAAGTAACTGTTACACATAATGGGGCCCTGCTCTCCTGGAGAGGCAGAACACCCGCCTGCCTATAGGAAGCAGTGAATCAGATCTTTGTTTTTCTTTGCTTGTGTGCACACAGCCTTTTCTTTCCCCATTAGACTGTCACTATCTCAATCCAAGAGTTTTCTGGCTTTCAGCCCCCTGATTCTCTCCCGATCCTGCTGGTGGGGGAGTAAGGGAGTGGCTGCCTGGGGCTTGGTGTTGGCTGGGGTAAACCACAGCAAAGTACTTATGCCAAACTGTTCGGTTTTAGCTTAATCATTTTGGCACATCAAAGATTCATCCAAGTATCTGATACTAATGTAATCAATACCAAAAAAAGGTCACTCTTTTCAGCACTTGGGGAAAAAAAAAATCCAATTAACCAACAGAACTGGTCTTTTATTTCAGAAAAGCCATCTGATGAGCCAAGTCACCATGCAAACATTGCATATTTTCAGTAGAATTAAAATGTCAGCTTACAGGAAGAATGGACAAGACTGGGAAAGATGACATATTAGCTCTTAAAAAATTAATCACTTCTCATCTTTACCATTTCTTTATCAATTATATCTTGAAGATATCAACTTCTGGAAAGACTTCTAAAAGTTGGTTCTTTATCTTTTCTGTAATATAGGTCAATCAAGAATAAGGTAAATTTAATCTACATAATTTGTTTATCGGCTTCAACCACAAGAAAAGGTGTACCCAAGGAGGAATTGAGTAGAGGAAATGATTAAAAAACAAGGGGGGAAAAAAAGTGCTTTATGTTTACTCTTTCATCCAAACATAAGTTTAATAAAAAATAAAATTTTGATTTTCAGTCTTACTGTCATAAACATCAGAGGTCCAAATGTTAAGCTTTCATTCAAATCATGACATTTATTCTAGAGGATGCAATTCTGTGTGGAGCTCCTCATAAAATCCCTCTGTGCTCCTCATACATTTTGGATGCTGATGACAAAGTATAGGAAAAATAACCAAGACACACTTGAAAAACAAACTTGCCTTCTCCTTCAAAAGAGGGGCACTGAAGACTAAAGAGCTGCCCAGCTGAGATGGTACGTACATTTTCCCCTGAAAGCAGCCTCCTCTGACAGCTACAGATTCACAGCAGTCAGTCTGCCAGTTGGCACACCACTGCTGGAGCTGCTGCGATGGAGACCAAAAACAATCAGCTGCTGTGTACAGCTTAGTTTCCACTCAAATCCATAATGACAATTAATTCTGTTCACAAAGGCTGCCTTGAAGTGTTTTAAGTTTACAGATCTGATGCCAAGAGCTGCTGGATCCCATGATAATACAAGTATGTGCACTACCATTCTATTCTGATAATTTACAAAAATATGGGCAACCATCAAGGTCATCACTTTCACAGGTCTGCTGCATGGTAGGGTTTCTACATGTACATGGAGAAACAATGTGTGCACCACGTTACCCCTCCACCTGCAGGCACTGCTCATATGCAAGATCAGCGCAAGCAGAGATTCTGAGTTATACTGATTTATTCCCTTCCAAACCATGCACTTATGGTGGAAGCAGCAAATGACATAAACACTATCGCACGCTGTCAGGAAAAAAAAACAGCAAAAGTGCGGCCTTAATGTGCTTCAAAACAATGATACTTCTAAAATGTATCAACAAGCATTCTCTAATAATTTATTTCTTCAAAGTAACTAAGAACATGGGGCAAGGTTGATCAAGCTGCTTGTACAGCAGCTACCAAATTGCTTACACACAGCATGGTTTTTAAGAAATCTAGAAAACAAACAAGTCCTGTTTAGTTTAATATGTCGTAAAACCTCAGCTGGACCACTGCAATTTATGAGGTTTTAAAAATCCCATTAGCAGAGATTTTCACCCTAAGAGAAGACCAGGGACCAGGTTACAGCCCTTCCCATTTACATTAAAACATTGACATGTTTCTACCCATCTGCAGATGCCTGTTGCTTTGCTGTTATAAAGAAGGAATATTGATTAACACATCGACAGAATGTATTTATGGCTAAGAAAAAAAAGTATGTAGAAATAACACACTGCAAAGCTGGAAAATAATTTTTCACCTCTTCTCATCTTTCCTCTTTCCAAAAAGGTGATCACAAACTCAGTGACTGAGCACTCTCAATTTTTCCAGTCTCACATCGACAGAGTAAAGTAGTCATAGTGCAGATGCTTAAAGTGGAGCCATGACTGTCACCTAAGTAGTTTTAGCACTCCATCTGGGTAAGCCAAATCACCAAAATTCATATTAACCCAAGGAAAACTTTCGCTTCTTTCACCATCTCCAGTGTGTTTTTATGGAAAAAAAAATTAATAGGAACTAAGTAATTATGAATCAATTTAAACTATTTTGAGGCTGAGATGTCCTACAAGCAGTTTTGGCCTAAAGAGTTAGGCCAAACCTTTAGGTTAGAGAAATATCCCTGTATTCAAACTTTAAGAAGCTTTAATACTGTAATTGTCTCTTCTTCTTAAAAAAAAAAAAGAAAAAGGAGATTTACTAGAAGCAGACTGTACTGACAGCATTCCACCCTGCGCATATCAGTTTGAAAAGTTGCTTCATTTTCAAGTTTTAACAGGAAGACAGTATAACTTCCCTGTAGTCTGGAACTTTTCAGATAATTATTAGAGTTATTATCATAGAAGACTAAAAAAAAAAAGCAACGTATTTCTAATGTTTTCTAATTAGTATACGGGCAGCACAAACATGTGGAAGCACCATTCTGAATTATCTTCCACAACATTTTTGTTCACTGAACTCTACAGAAAGTTTTCTCCAAGGATTAAACTCAATTTTAGAATCAATTTCCTTCATGATTTCTATTTGCTTTACTGAAAATGTATGTAGTAAAATTTCACTGGCATTTGTACCAAGAATTGGTTTCTAAGACTTAGCTTCATCTAATGAAGATTAAAGATGTTACATGGGAGAGCAATATTTTCCAAGGTCTCAGAATATTAGAAGAAAAAATAATTAAAAAACCTCCAAGAGCTATACTTTCTTATAATTAATTTTAGAGAAAGAGGAAAGAATTTGAAAAAACTACATTCACTAAGAGTTTTTTACCACGGGGTTGTCGAATTCCCACACTTGAGTAAAAACTATTAGTTTTACTTCAGTGACACCAAATGGTTAGTCAGACAAAGCAAATCAAAGAAAGAACCAAACAGAATAGCAAGAATAGCAAGACAAACCTAGTACCAGGTAAGAACAGAACTGCAAACAGCCAAGAGTTTGACAGTAGCCATTCGAACCTTCAAGAACATAAAACTGAGATCATAAATACTACAACCTAGAGGAAGAATGTCAAGTGTTTCTGACTACCTTGGTAAATCAGAAGCTTGTATCAAAAGTGAATAAGCACACTTGAAATAAAAATTAGGAGCACTGTTGGTTGTTAATAAAGACATTGAAAAAATATCTCTATAGTTTACAGAGAATCAGAAAATGCACAGACAATCCTGCTCACCTGTCTTCACTAAAACGTCGACCAACCAAAATTTTACATTTGTCTGGAGGGAGACAAGCTGCTAGCAAAGGCACTGTCCTTAACACTCGACTTTCCTGTAAAAAAAGAAAATTTACTTTTGAATCAAATCAAGGAAGGCTTCTATGAATGCTTAAAGCTTTCATTTTCTATCAAATTCTTTTGACTACAGTTACAGAAAAGAACCTTACCACATAACAGGAAAAAACAATCTACAAGAAAAATACACAATCTTGATGCTACAAATTGTATTGTTTCGATGACAGCATTTAAATTTTAACTCTAGGCTAACAGTATCAAAAACAGTAACAAAACTTCTCAGACAAATAAAGAATAGGCAACAAAACAGCCTTAGCATTAATGATGTAACAGTCTGGGGAGCTAATGTCTCTATACCAGAAAATGAGGGGAGAGCTCGAATTCCACAAACAGATGCTAAAATTAAAAGCACTGGGTGCGTCAGACCAGACACTGTGAAATGCAAACATCTCCACTCCGCTGTCACTTCATTTCACAGTAATCAGGACAATGACACGTATGCTGCCATGAACCTTCCAACTTATGCCATTCAGGCTGTATTGATCAGACATCTGCCTACATCTTTGTGACACAGAGAGGAAGGTGACCACCACGCTTGAGTGGGGCACAGGGGCTCTTCAGATCTCAGAGCATTAAAGAGAGCAACGTGGAAGGAGGATTTCAGAAAGTGGAGGAGGGGTGAAGCAATAACAGCTGAAACAAACTATCTACTCGTCAAACAGAGCAATTTATTTCTGTGCTTTATTTAACACAGCTGGGAACAAACTTTTTGTCTAGACAAGAACTAATGCAAACTGAGCTTCATTTGTGGGATGTCAATTTTTGTTTTCCCATCAAGGAAATGGAAGTAACAGAAAACCAACACTAAAACACTGAATGAAAGTTTCCGTTACTTTATTTATCGTAAGATGAACAGAGGAAGGCTAATAGCTGAATCTAGCAGGGGGCAAGGCACTAGATGTCAGGTGAGGATTATGAAAGCCCTAAACCCAGTAAAAGAAAGAGTTCTTACAACACAGTGCACATCTTACAATCTGAATGTCTCATGACTCAGACCATGAAAATCCAAACATCAATCCCTAAACTATGGGATTCATTAACGAAAACCCAAGGGGCTTTTGGTCTGCCTTTTGATTTAAGAGCCTTACCTCAAAAACACAATATTTGTGAACATGTGAACATGAGGCTCTGATTAACTCACTCTGGGCAGATGTTACTTTCACAAGCATCAATGTGCAGCCATCTGCACTCTCACATTGTCTTGCTACCAAACTCCTGTTAAAACAGTTTTGTGAAAACTTTTATTACTGTTGCCTAAAACCTTTATTCATTTTGCTTTTTCTGATCCTTATCTACTGATCCTCTATAAATAAAACATCGTGGAGTTGAAGGAGTAAGCTGTTCTGCTACACCCACCACTATTTCTCATGGCAGCAGCAGCGTAATGTCTCCTAGGGACAGATGAAGATCAAAGTACCTTGGGAGTGAAGTGCCAGCAAAGGGAGGGAGAAGTATTCTTTAAATTGACATCAATTTCTTCTACCTCAGAACAGCAGAATCAGCCATCAACAGTGTCATAGTATTACTTGCTTTTATTTCATCATAATTAAATAACATTCCAATTCACTAGTCAGAAGCCTCCCTTCTCCATAAGAATGTAACAAGTGGCAATAAAGGACCTGGAAGAAAATCAATTATTTGCCTCTGATAAGCAAAACCAAAAGAGCTGTCAGCAGTCAGGAGAAAGTTATTCAACTATTCTGTCCAATGTCACATCATTACTTCAGAATTACCTTTCATTCAAATAAATACATTCTTTTACCAAAATAGAAAACTGATTTTTCCAATCTAAAAACAATATGTGCTTATAGGAAGATAGAACATAAAATGTAAAGTTCAAAGGAATTGAGAACAGAAGCTTAAGAACAGTTAAGTCAAACTAACACTAAAAAAGGTTTCATTTGTTTATAACGTTCTTCATTAAAGAATTTGTATTTAACTAGACTATAGATAACTTATTTGTTATCCTACCAACAATTTTCCATTTACTAGTTTGAAAGTGAGCAGTTACTCTCTTTGTTCTTCTCAGTGTTCTAGCACTTATTTGCAACTCTTTGCTTATTAATTATTTGACTATTAAAGTATATAAACAGAAACAGGACTGGGGGACTTATGTGGTGGGCTGACCTTGGTTGGCCTCCAGCCAAGGTGCCCACCAGCCACGCTATTACTCCCCCTTCTCAGCAGGACAGAGGGGAAAAAATAAGATGAAAATGAACTCTTGGGTAAAAAAGGCCAGGGGTGGAAGCAAAAGACAATAAAAATATTTTATTCTTATTTCCCATCAGCAGGTCAAGTCCAGCCACTTCCTCAGAAGCAGAACCTCAGCAGGTGTAGCAGTTCCTACAGAAGACAAATGCCTTAATCACAGATGCCATTCCCCACCCACCCACACCCAGCTTTTACTGTGTCATATGGTATGGAACATCCCTCTGGTCAGCTTGGGTCAGCTGTTCTGGCCATGTCCCCTCACAGTCTCTTGTCCACCCCCAGGCTACTGGCCTTTGTGGGCATTTTGGAGGGACAGCCTTGATGCTGCATGAGCACTGTTCAGCACTAGTCAAACTCTAGTGGCATGCTACTGTGGTGACTTCAACGTGGAAACTTAATTCCATTGCAGCTGGACTCAAAACAACTTACTTTTGTTGTTCTTTTTCTTTTCTGGGGATTTGTGGTAATTTTGGTTACCATAGCATTATCCATTGACAATGAATAGGACAGTTCAAACTAATAAAAACATTTATTAGAGCCAGGAGATATATATTTCTTCCATTTCTTTTTCCTGAATTGCTAGGACAAGCAGCAAGAATTTCCCCCTTACATTTGATTCCTGCTGTTCAATAAGGAATACTATATAGCAGAAGTACTATAACGAGCAAGTCAAAGCTAATTCCTGGCATTAGATCAATACATAGAATCATTAAATACGCACAATCTAAATTTTCTTCTCAGATGCTTAACACCGAAAATTCTTACTCTTACAGAAAGAAAGAAGGCAGGGAATGAAAACAACTTAAACAGACACCCTCTGCTATGCTTTAGGGGTTCTGTCCCAACTTATACTTATCATCCAGCTTTTGAAAAGCACATAATGGCCTACATTGTACTGGCAGTCACATTAAGAATGATCAAAGGCAAAAGTAAGACAAAAGTGTACAGGGGTTTATACTCTTAGCTGTGTCACTGATCAGTCCTACGGATCATAAGAGTAGGCATGAAACAGGAAAAATGACAATTTTTTTTTTTTTTTTACTTCTACATATATATATATTTACATATAAATTTATCTATATGCAAAGAAGAAAAATAAATTACTAGGCATATAAATCTTTCACTTTTGCACTAGTCCTGATGCTGGGTTTCTTTATATTTAGTTTTTAAATTACTCTCACAACGAATAATGGTACAATAACAGTACCATCTGAAAACAAGTATTTGCCCCTTGATACGGAATGCTGAATTCCGGATTCCTTCACAAATAAAAATCTAATTAATTCATGTACCTATTATGTAAATAATTCCTCACTTGTGATCCACTGTTCTACAGAGTTCCTCTCTCTTTCACAATACGTGACACATGCACAGGTCTTTCTGGCAGCACGGTCTCTGGAAAGTATGAATGTGGAGACTTAGTCACATTAATCAGGCACCAGGAATGTTGCTCCTGACTTTCTACATTACTATCTTGCCTGAATACAAGTCTCAATAGCATCATTTAACCATAGTTGAAGGCTTACTTCACCGCACTGCAGACTTCCAAAGACAATAAATAATGAAGCACATGAAGGATGACAGCCGGGGCTGACATGCAGTAAGGGAAAAACATTCACTATCTGGTTAATTCAATGAGATATTTTTGAAACTGAGTGTACCTGCAATGAAATGGCAGACTGAAGGATCAGACGCAGATCCTTCAGTCTGAAGGATCAGAAGGCTTATCTGCATTCAAGATCGATTCTGTTTTGAGTATGAGCAACTACAAGCAAATGGAACTTACCTCTTGTCAGGTACGCCCCTGCTGTTATAGAATCAAAAGCATCACCCGTGAACACTTTCAAAGACCACTCTAAGATGTTCTTAGCTTCCCACCATTTGTTTGGATTTATCTCTGGTAAGCCAAGTGCCCTCATATAGCCAGATAGTGGTCTTCCAATACTGTGTGAATTATTATTATGCAATATATACTAACAGAAAACTTGCATCCCACTGTAACAGACAACTGTTGTGATTGCTGATTAATAAAATTGTAGACAGTCACAGACTGTCACAGGTATGGTGTATGAAATCTAAAAAAAACCTGCCAACTTTTTCTAATACCTTCCGCTATGAATAGGAAATTCAACACAATTCAAATGCCAGTTCAAAGTCTCTGACGCATTTTTAAACCCTTTTTTCCCTTCAACTTACTTTAGCATATATAGAAGTACTTCTGAAATAAGAAGTAACACAGAAGAGTATTCCTATTATAATTATGTGAATTAAAAATTACAGTTTTCCCATTTAGGGCCCAAATATGTCATGGCCTCCGTTTTGTTTCCCTGTGAGAGAATACTTTTTTTAAACTTGCTTTTTTGCATTCTGTTTAAGTTCCTTCAGGCAAAGACTCTTTGCATATTGGTCGAGTTACTGTAAAATGTCAAGCTGGACCACAAGAGAACAGCTTTCTGAACTTCACAGTCTTATCTGTAGACCCACCATCTACCCAGATATGTGTAGCTGCAGTTCAATTTCCAAAACCCTTATGATACACAGACAAGAAAAACATTAATATATTTTCTCCTATTGGTAAACCAAAACATACTCTTCTGAGGCTAAATAGTTTTCCATTGGCTAAAATAGCTAAGGTCATCACTACAATGAATTGCTTAATTCATATTTTTAACAGAACACTAACATCAATAAAAGACCACTGCCATAATGAAACATATTCATCCCTATATCAACTCTAAACACCTCTCTGAGACACTGTGTTCGTAGAATCCTAGAATATGCTGAGTTGGAAGGGACCCATCAGGATCATTGAATCCAACTCCTGGCCCTGCGCAGGACACCCCAAGAATCACACCACGTGCCTTTATGTTATTTAATGTTAATTAATGTTATTAATTTTTACAATTTGTACCAATGCAAGCAGATTTCAGATTCGAATAGGACTATTCAGATAAGATGAGATGTCTTGCATGCATGGAATTGCAGAAATAAGATGTGATTTCAGAAGATAAAATAATTCAGAAGAACTGAACAAAAAATACAGTAACTCAGCTGAACTGGCATTCAATCATCAAATTTAAAAGGAAAAATCATGATATGACAGTCCTGGTTTTGGCTGGGATAGAATCCATGTTTTTCCAGTAGCTTGCACAGTGCTGTTTTGGATTCAGGATGAGAATAATGTTGATAGCAACAACCAAAACACCAGTGTGCTAAGTAGTGTTTACCCTAAGACAAAGAATTCTCAGTGTCTCACGCCCTGTCAGTGAGGAGGTGCACAAGAAATCCTGAGAGAGCATGTCCAGGTCAGATGACTTAAACTGGCCAAAAGGATATTCTATACCAAAGAATGTCATGCCCAGTATATAAACTGGGGATGGCCAGGAGCCACCAATTACTGCTAAGGGATGGGATGGGCATTGATCAGTGTGTGGTGAGCATTGTATTGTGCATCACTTGTCTTTCTTGGGTTTTATCTCTCTCTCTTCTTTTTACTGCAATTATTATTGTTATTATTATCATTAGAATTATTAGTACTATTATATTTTACTTTGTTTCAATTATTAAACTGTTCTTATCTAAACCCACAAGTTTTTACCCTTTTTTCACTGATTCTCTTCCCCATCCTATCTGGCACAGGGGAAAGTAAACTTAGCTGATGGCTGGGGTTGAAGCATGACAATGATGGTAACAGCATAGCTGTTTCCTCTTGCCTACCATTTGCTGCATTAAGATTCTAGATGAACTCTCAACAGTTAGCACAGCCTTACTCACCTCTGCTGGATGCTGGATTATATACAAGCAGGTGGAGACCTTTAGCGGATGTACGGGCAGGAATGGACACAAACACACCTTCTGAGGACGGCTACATGGCAAAAGGAAGCAAAAGAACAACAAAAGCAATCAGCAATTTCTGAAAGATGATGTAAATACACTGCACAAATACACACTGCATCCCAGAAGGCACAATGAGAACTTCTTCTTACAACACTGTTCTAAACCTGATTTTTTTTTCATGGCTAGGCTTCGCGAACAAAGATTTAGGAAGGCTCTATCCACATTTGTTACAGGCACGCTGGTGGCTAATAAGGCCAATACGAGACAAGCATGTCTGATTGCAGAAGGCACAGCAGAAAGACTCCTTAGGTGGTAAATTCTACAAGACACAGTTGTTTCTGCGCTGTCTTTTCTCCTCGAGAGTGATCCTGCGTGCTTTCTCAAAGGAAGCAGCAGCGTTATAGATGGTGTGTCTCCAGATCTCTTGATTTGAGGCCAGAGTAGACCAGTTATGATGATCAATATGGCCAAGGCTGAGATGTTGTTTCAGGAAGTTCTCATATGTCCGCTTCGGGGTTCCTCTCATGCGACAGCCGGTGGCAAGTTCACCATAGAGCAAGATCTTAGGGAGGTGGTGGTCCTTCATCCTTGAGACGTGTCCTGCCCAATGCAGCTGTGTTCTCATCAACATGGCCTCAATGCTTGTGACTGCTGCTTGTTCTAGAACAGATGTATTGGTCACAAAATCTGGGATTGTACGGAGGCAGCATTGATGGAAGTGTTCTAAGAGACACAGGTAATGGCAGTAGATGACCCATGATTTGGAACCATATAAAAGAGTAGACAGCACAATGGCTCTGTAAACACTGATCTTGGTACTTTTCTTCAAGTGTTTGTTACGCCAAACTCTTTTATGGAGTTTTCCAAAAGCACCATATGCCTTTGCTAACCTGTTGTCTATCTCCCTGTCAATCTTACCATCCGAGGAGATGAGGCTGCCTAGGTAATTAAACTGCTAGAATGATGTGAGCTCTGATTCACCAATGGTGATATGGGGATGATGGAAGACTTCCTGAGATGCAGGTTGATGGAGAACTTCTGTCTTCTTTAAGCTGACTTCCAGCCCAAAGAGCTCAGCAGCATCTGCAAAGCAGGATGTTAAACGCTGCAGAGCTGCTTCTGTGTGGGCCACAAGGGCAGCATCATCAGCATAAAGCAGCTCCCAGACAAGATGATTTAGGTCTTAGTGTGGCCTTTCAGTTGCCTTAGGTTGAAAAGGCTTCCATCGGTACGGTATCGAATGTAGATACCATCCTGATCACCGAGGTCTGCCGTGGCCCTTTGGAGCATCATGCTGAAAAAGATTGTGAATAGGGTTGGTGCAAGAATGCAGCCTTGTTTCACACCATTGGTTATTAGAAAGGGTTCAGAAAGTGCATCACCATATCTGACTTGGCCGTGCTGATCCTCATGGAGTGAGATGATCATTTTAAGGAACTTGGGGGACATCCTAAACGTTCCAAAATCTGCCATAGACCTTTCCTGCTCACAGTATCAAAAGCCTTGGTGAGGTCAACAAAGGTTACATAGAGACCTTTGTTCTGTTCCCTACACTTCTCTTGCAGTTGTCTGAGAACAAATACCATGTCTGTGGTGCTCCTGAAACCACATTGGCTTTCAGGTAGAATTCCTTCTGCTATAGCGGGTATTAATCTGTTCAAGAGTATTCTTGTCAGGATTTTGCCAGCAATGGAGAGCAGAGTAATACCACAGTAATTTGAATAGTCTGATTTAGTACCTTTCTTCTTATATAGGGTTCTAGTAGTTTGAATCTTGTTTTCCCCCAGAGGCTAAGAAAAATGGTAAAACCCCAAGGGGTGGAAACCCTTGGAAGTTTTGAAGTTCTGTCCAATGGGTGCTCCTGCAAAATGTAAACATACCACAAGCAAATGGAAGAGAAGAGTTGTAGTTTGGTTGTTGTTGGAGAGGTGGCCATGTTGTAAAGCCACGAGGAAGGGGCTCGGAGCCCCACAGGGGGCTTTGGCCCCCAGCCCCCAGCAGGGGGCCTGCGGGGACCTGGAACAGCATAAAGGTGGGCTAGGTGCCTGTAGTTATGCCTGGAGATGTTTTCTCCACTGTGGGTGAGCAGAGACAGCAGCGGCAGACGCAGCGTCCAGAGACTCTGGCTAAGAGCCAGGACAGATAAGAACTGAAACAAACAGCAAACGGCATGCACCGCAGAGAGGACTCCTGGAAGGAGAGCCAGGAAAAAGAGAGCCTGCAGCTGAGAGACAGAGTTTTTGGGGGTAAGAACTGAACCAGACCTCCCCCAAACTCCTTTGAGACCTCCGAGAAAGGAGGAGTAGATGGACTCCTATTTGAGAGGAGCCTTGGAGTACAGCAGCACTGGAGAGAGAGAGGAGCTGAGAAGCTCAGTCGTCCTGAGAGCTGAGCCAGGACGGTGTGGGAACTTGGTCTTGGGGGCCCTTCCTTGCTGCAAGCTACAAAGAAGCTTGCAGCCATCTTGAAGCAGGGTACCAAGGCCCTGCAAGGAGCTTGAATTTCCTGGAGATACCAGATATTCACGAAGCCCCCTGTGCTCGTGATATGACCGTGGTGGAACGACCTTTGTCTGGGGTGAACGTAGCCCACAGAGGAAGACCCCTCGCTTGTTGGCGACGGGGCCGAGGGAGCTTGGATACCTCCCTCATGAGTGCTGGCAGAAAGTCAGCCACAGCTGCTGCATGCATGAGATGAGGAGAACCTGCTGCCTTAGAAGATACTCCTGCTTAGAGACTGGAAGGGATCCATCCTTTTTCCCTCCTGGACTTTTATTTGGAGGGGAGAAGAGATTTGATCCATTGTAAATACTATATGTCATGGTAGAGATAGTTGTGATTGTGTGTATAATGTGTTATAGCATTTATTTGTACAGTCATTGTAATATATTCCCTTTCCCCATTTGGAGTCTGGCGTGTTTTGTCTGGAAAATCCATTTCACATTAGATTGAGATGGGGGAGGGGGCTAGGGCTAGGGAATTAGGATTTTGGAGATCTCAAACCATGACAAGGGTGATGATGACTGCATCTCGAAGGTCTGATGGTAGTTGGCCTGATGGCCTGATGGTAGTTCCCAACAGCGCACCACAAACTTGTGAAATTTAGCATGGAGAGCAAGGCCCCCATGTTTCCAGATTTTAGCTGGAATTCCATCAACCCCAGCTGCCTTGCCAATTTTCACCTGCTGTATGGCCTTAAGGGTTTCTCCCAAAGTGGGGGCAGTATCCAAATCATTCTTCACTGGTTGTTGTGGGATGGACTGAATTGTTGAGTCTTGAACTACACGACTAGTACTGAAGAGAGTCTGAAAGTGTTCGGGCCATCAATTCAGAATGGAGGTTTTATCTGTGAGAAGCATTTGACCATTTGCACTGAGTAGAGGGCTTTGGACCTGGTATGCAGGCCCATATGCTGTTTTCAAGGCCTCATGGAATCCTCTGTGATCACCTGTATCTGTGCATAATTGAGTTTTCTCAGCTAGATTGATCCACCACTTATTCTGGATGTCACAAAGTTTCTGTTAGAGCTTGCTGCAGGCAAGACGAAAGGCTGTTTTTCTTACATGACAGGATGGTAGTGCAAGGTGTGCTTGATGAGCAGTTCTCTTCTTCCTCAACAATTCCTGGATCTCTTGATTGTTTTCATCAAATCAGTCCTTGTTCTTCTTGAAGGAGAACCCTAAGGATTCTTCAGAGGACTGCAGGATGCTGTTTTTAATGCGGTGCCAAATTGTTTCAGGAGAGGAATCTGTAGAATCTATGGAATGGTTTTCAAGCCTAGTTTGAAGGTTTGCCTGGAATCTGTCTCTCACCGTGGTTGATTGGAGATTGTTAACTTGGAATCTCCTCCTTGGGATATTGCCCCTTTTTGGTTTGAACTTAAGGTTGAAGTTGAGTTTACAGCGCACAAGCCGATGGTCTGTTTGGCATTCTGCACTGGGCATCACGTGGGTATGGTGGACATTGCGGACATCCCTTCGTTGCACCAGGACAAAATCGATGAGGTGTCACTGCTTGGATCTAGGATGCATCCAGGTTGTCTTCAGACTGTTTTTCCGTTGAAAGATAGTCTAGTGATGGTGAGCTGTTGCTCCGCACAGAATTCTAGCAGAAGTCGACCATTATCGTTGCAGTTTCCAATGCCATGCTTGCCTAATACTCCTTTCCAGGTTTCAAAGTTCTTTCCTACTCTGGCATTGAAATCATGAAGGACAATGATCTTATCACCTGCAGGAACCTTTTGGATAAGGCAGCGCAGGTCAGTGTAAAATTTATCTTTTTTGGCAGGGTCAGCTTGGAGAGTTGGGGCATATACACTAAAGAGGACAACGTGTTGCTTGTTGTGAACTGGAAGACATAGGGAGATAATGCGGTCAGAATGGCCTGTTGGCAGATTTTCGAGTTTGGGAACAACAGAGTTTTTGATCATGAAGCCTACTCCCGAGAGGTGCCTTTCGGTTCTAGGTTTACCTGACCATAAACCTGATGTAATTTTGTTTGAAATTCCCTCCATTTCTAAAATTAAAGAAGCAAGGCTTTCATTGAAACATTTGAGAACAGTGCACAAACCCTCCCTGTGGGCTGGTTAGAGTTAAAGCACTCTAAAAATCCTTTTGTCATATTCAAGATGAGCAGCTTACTAGTATCTATAACCCTATCAGAGAATTCTGTTACTGCTTTCCTAACAAGTTAGTTTCAACAATTTGATATACTATTATAATAGAACAATGTCTATAATTTATATATTTATAAGATTGATTAAAATAAAACATTTCAGAATTATCCAAACATGAAACCCCAGACATACTGTATTTTAGTTTTTTATAATTCCATTTATGTTGAAATACGTAGCAGAAATATGTTTTCAATATGAAAACAGAGAAGTACTTATTAGGAACTTCTAATGTAAGTCTGAAAAAAAATATCTATAATTCTTCAGTGTACTTCATGAAGCTGTTGGAATGGCTAACTAAAGAATTGTGTCTAAAGAAATTAACTTAAATATTGCTTGATATGAAATGGATACGCTGA